GTCCAGCACTCTGATACCTGTGTTCTTCTAGCCGTTTTAATTGGTGTCTTGACAGTGGTGGTGTTGGTAACTGAAACAATTTATTTAATACACACCCTGTAGTACTCATATGCCCAAAGCCCACAGGGGACTCTGGGTGAGATTCTCCACATCGTTTCCTTGTTGACCGATGCCCACTCATGGATCTTGGTTTTCTTCTACTTGGAGACAATGAATTATCTTGTCTGGTAGCTTTCTGTGGTTATTTACCTGGGGGCCTGAACCCAACAAGCACAAGCCTAGAAATAGCAACCGGACAACTGAATTCTTGAGGCAAGGATAATCCCTCTTCCTTGGAGACCTGCCCCAGCTGGTTCAGGTCGGACTTGTTCCCCACAAGAACCACCAGTGTGTCATCAGCATCTCAGACTCAGTGAATCAGTTGTTTAAACTCCCAAATTTCATGGAAACTTTAATGATTAGTGATGGAGTAACAGATGATAAATCCTTCTCCTGCCCTCTTATATTGATCCCACATGGCTGTAAATTCTGCCCCACTGTGTCCAGGATGTCCAGATTGGCAGGCTTATCCATCATCAATGTAGATCTGAATCTTATAAGCAGTTTCAATTGTGGGGTCATGATATTCTGGGAATCATTGCCTGATAAATGGTATTGTCACGGCACTCTTCCCAACTCCGCCCAGCATCACTAGTTTGTATTCTTGTGATAGTGCTACAGGGATGCTATAGCGGCTACCAACTGTGATAGTGCTGCAGGGATGCTATAGTGGCTACCAACTGTGATAGTGCTGCAGGGATGCTATAGCAGCTACCAACTGAGTGAGCTCCAGATTCCACTGTCCTCTTGAGCAGTCTTCAACCCCTGGGAAATGCATCCTCTGAAATGAATCCCAAGTCCCGGGCTGTAGCCCTCTTTACTTTCCAGGGTCCTGCCCAGGTCCTGGAAAGTTATGCCAATGGGCAGGACTAAGAAACTTTTGAAACAGAAAGATATGTGTACTATAAGTTCTGTTTCTCTAGAGATCCCTGAAAAATACAGCAGATTAAGGTGCTTCTGGCCAAGCCTGATGACCTGAGTTTGATCTCTGGAATCCATATGGTAGGAGGAGAGACACAACTCCCGCAAATTGTAACTCAGCTCAACATGCATGCTATGGATGTTGCATGTATGTATGATGTATGTACTACATATATATTTATGCATCACACATACACATATATGCACAATAAATAGGAAGAAAGAAGACACGATAGATGATAGATAGATAGATAGATAGATAGATAGATAGATAGATAGATAATAGACAGATAAGAGACTGATAGACAGACAGACAGACAGACAGACAGACAGTGAAGAGCACATCTGGAGTTAACTTTGGCATCTGTATGTTTTGAATTAAGACATCTGCTAAATCCTGCCAAGTTCCTTCACTTACACATGCGTCCTTAAGAGACTGTCCAAGCCTGCAGGAATGGGCTTAGTCAAACATAGATACTGTATACCAAAAACTCACCACATAAGTATTTGTAGCCATTGTTTAACTTTCTAAAACTGGTTATACTTTCTATTGTTTGCCTTTAAAAGACACGGAGTAAATAAAGACATTCCTTGCTGGCATGGTATTGACCACAGCCCTCCCATCTCTGTCTCTTGCATCTTCTTTCTACCTTTCCTATAAGCATCCTCACTCCCCTAGTCATAGTTCCCTCATTGACTGACAGGCAGGCTCCTGTAATAGATAGATAAATAGACAGACAGACAGACAGACAGACAGACAGACAGACAGACAGACTGACTGACTGATGGACGGGGACACATACACATCGGAAACAGCTATATAGATGATACAAACACAAGATTAAGCAGTATGTGAACCATAGAGCTATCTGACCAGTCTAAAGAAGCATACATTCTTTCCAAAGCAGGCGGAGATGAACATGCAGAACCTGCGGTTGCCAGACATAAGAATGAAAGGACTGGCTGTAGGAAAAAAAGCAGCCATTAGAACAGAAATCTTCACCAGCCACAAACTGGAACCATTAAAAAGAGCCAAGATTAATGAAAAGACAGAGGAAAGGATATAAGATGGTACAAAGGTGCTCACTAAGGCAAGGATGCCTTGGGTGGCTCTGGACTCAGGGGAGAATCTGGATGAGTAGTTGTTTCTGTGGATGTGTTGAACACGATGCTTGTGCCTGTACAGGATAAAGATCATGGAGCCACTGGACCAGAGCATGAGCCCCAAACACAGCACATCATAGGATGACCACAATATGAGATGTAGTGGATATGTGACTCTGTTACCAACTACCTCACAGTATTCAAAATCCATTTTCTCCATGTGATTCTGCTTGCTGGTGACATGCATTGGAACACTGACATATTGCACGATGTTCACTACCCAACACAAAATCAAGATGTTGGAGGTCCCCAAGTGCTCTGAAACTTGCCATTTCACTTCCTTCCATCTGGAAGTCATGGGGCTTATGGTGATGGCCTGGAAGACACTCAAGAAGCAGGTGCTACCAATGCACATACCCCGGGCCACTCTGTGGACGTAAAAGACAAGTTTGCAGCCTGCATTATTGAAGAAATGTTTCATACCCAAAGCAGCCATGGTCTGTGGTACTCCTTTAGTGAGTATAACCAAAAAGTTGGCCACAGTCAGGTGATGGACAATCAGATCTGTAGGCCTGGCTTCACCTTTCATGAAACAATGGAAATTGTAATAGCAGAGAAGGAGGTTCCCCAGGAATCCAACTATAGTCTGATGTAAGAAGATCATACCTAGGGCCAAGTCTCTGGAGTAACTGACAGTCTCATTCAGAGTGACAATATCCTGCATGAAAACACTAAGTCTGTGTGAAATGTTAAACTACTACCTGCACACCATTGTGCCCCACCTAGACATATCCAGTTATATATTATTATTAATACCACTATTTCCACTCTTCCTGTCTTGTGGAAACATTCAGGCAGACAGGACCTACAGCACTGTGTAGAGACCAGAGGACAGCATTAAATAGTCAGATCTCTCCTTCCACCATGAATTCCACGGATGTAACTCAGGCTGCCAAATATGAATGGCAAGTGCTTTTATCTCCTCAGCCACCTTGATTTTTCTCAGACATTCCATACTAAATTCATGTTTTCATTCTCTAAGAGTTTAGTTATAAAAGGAAACTTGTGTGAGTAATGAGTATATCAAAATTTTATGAAATAATTTCATGTAAGATTCTATTGCTATTTTACATATAACTCCTACAACAGTTCTATCAAGTCAACATTTGGCTGTTCTCACTCTACATGAGAAGAGAACTAGGCACAGTAAAGAGGACCAGTATTTCTAAAGTCACCTTTACACAAGTGAGATGACTCAGTGGGTAAAGGGACTTGTTACCAAACCTGACAATCCAAGACAACTGAAATTCTATCCCATGGTCCCATATGGTGGAAGGAGAGGCCCAACTTCTGTACGTTGTCTTCTGACCTCCTTATCTGCACTACAGAAAACACACACAGAGAGACACACTGACTGACACACACACAATAAACAAATTGTGTTTTCTAGATGTAACAGGGCAGTTGCACATATGAACTCACAGAGATCGTGACAGCAAGCAGAAGCACTGTAGAAGCTCTTGCCAGACAAAATCTCAACATAGAGGAGGGAGATAGGCATGAAACATCATAACTAGCTGAGGAGATATTTGCAAACTAATAGTTACTGAGAGAGGAGCCAGTTTTCTCACAGGGTATGGTCCCTTCCAGGTAAACCATACACCAGTGGATGACCATACACCTAAAAGTATAAAGACAGCAGTAATCAGACTCAATGGATTAAGAAACATAAGGACAAAAAGTTGGGTGAGCAAGGTTGGAGAGATGACTTAGTGGTAAAGAGCACTTGAAGGTTCTTCCAGAGGTCCTGAGTTCAATTCCCAGCAACCACAAGGTGGCTTACAACCATCTGTTTTTAGGATCTGATTCAGTCTTCTGATGGGCATGAAGACAGAACATCACTCATACATAAAATACATGAATAAATAAATCTTTTTTTGAAAGTTGGATGAGTATAAAACCAGATGAGATGTGGGGATGAGTGATTACAATGAAAAGACATTATACTAAATTCTCAAAATTAATAAAAATACTCTCTCCAAAAGAGTAAAGTGCTTTCCATCTCCACCAAGATGGATCATATGGAGAAACGACCACATGCCAAGCAGCAGTGTGCAAATCATAGATAGGTTATTGCACAGGAAAAGCTGGTACAGAGCATTTGATCATATTGTGAACCCCAAGACTGAGAACTAAAAAAGCATTGTTGTGGAGTGGCTCAGCCCTAGCACACAGCTTTAACCCAAGAGTTTTCTGAAAACAAGAGGTAAATAAAGTCAATGATAGGTCAAGAGGCAGAGTAAGCAACAGGTTGACACAGAGCAACCATCTCTAATAGAAGCCCATGTTCTGAAGACAGCGACAGTATACTCATGTACATACAATAAATAAATAGGAAAACCCAGGAAATGGAAAGGAAGGTCTTTAAGTTAAAGGATATTTCAAACAGCATGAAGGAGCTTTTTCCTTCTGGGATATAGGTGAAGTAGGAGCGTCAGCTGGGTGTTTTCTCTGCCTCTCTGAGCTAGCAAGCTTTCACCACAGCCTCTGGCTCTGGAAGCTTCATTTGATAAATTGAATGTTTGGGATTTTCCTTTAAAACAAGAAACTTAACTAACCAGAACTATACAAAAAATAGTAGTTTTATGAATAAGAAAACAACAAATGAGAGTATTTTAGTGTCAGAGTTATTGGGTAGCCTGGGGTATGTAAGATCTTGTCTCAAAGGAAATACATGAAAAGGAAAATAAATATCATCAAGTAAGGGTCTGGAGGGATGGCTCAGTGGTTAAAGGCACTGACAGTTCTTCCAGAAGTCCTGAGTTCACTTGCCAGCAACCACATAGTGGCTAACAACCATCTCTAATGGGATCACAAGTTCTGAAGACAGCAACAGTATACTCATGTACATACAATAAATAAATAAATCTTTTTTTTAAATCATCCAGTAATACAACTCAGATAACAGTTGAATTCCAGTTTTTTTCACTATAAAGAAATCTGTAATCAGAGTCTACAATTCATTGGTAAAGCACTTAGTCAAACATCCATGACACTGTTCAATCCTGAGTACAAAAAGTACAACAACAATATTAGGATTTAGTTGAGGAGATGGCTCAGCAGTTAACAGCACATACTGCTTTGCAGAAGACCTGAATTTGGGTCCTATCACCTACATCAGGTAGTTCACCATGGCCTGTGGCTCCAGGGACATCTGATGCCTCTGAACTCTGTTGGCACTCACACATGTACACATAACTTTTAAAATGTGTTTTTAAATCTCTAAGACAATTAATCTACTTTTCCCTGAAAGATTCGTCTCTGAATTCATGAAGGAAAGCAGACCAAACATAATCCTAGTCACCAGGTGTGTCATGTCCTCACACAGTCACTCTGACTGTATTGATAGTATTGATAATGCCCAGAGCAGAAATGCCCTCAGTACAGGATTTTTAAAAGCACAACTTACCCATTAGCACTGCACAGAAGCCTGCAGGAGTATCATTACCAAACTTGAATATGGAGAGTAGAACTGCTGACAGACATATTCCAAAATTGTTTTAGAAGACAAAGAAATTAGCTGACAAACCTGCTTCCAGCAGCCAGGCATCCTGGTGCTGGGAACCAGAGACAGATGGGTCTCTGTGACTTTAAAGCCAGCCTGCTGGTCTACAGCTTTTGTTCTAAGACAACAAGAGCTACATTATAGAGACCTCCCTCCCTCTCTCTCTGTCTGTCTGTTTCTCTCTGTGTCTCTTTCACACACACACAAACAAACACACACATGCTCACTCATACACACAAAGTGCTTGCTATACAAACCTGACACCTGACAACCTAAATTTGGTCCTTGAAGACCACATGGAAAGCTGGATGCAGTGACTTATGTATCTGTAATCTCAGCACTCCTACAGAGAGATAAGAGCCAGAGACACAAGAATCAGTCTGAAGCTCAAAAGTCAGCTCGTCCACGGCACCAGAGAAAGCAAGAGACCCTTTCTAGAAAGGATGGAAGAAAAGAATCAACTCCTGAAATGTCAAGTGTATGCAAACATACACACAAACATTCACTGATACACACAGACACACACAAATGCTTTTTTAAAGTATATTAGAGAATCAAAACATACCCCACTCTATGACTTGACACAACTTCCCAAACTGAAGAATGAAAACTGGAGAGAAGTAATTTAAAGCACAGGGTGAGGAGGTAACTAGAGAAATGGCTCAGTGGTGAAGAGCATCAACTGCTCTTCCAGAGAACTCAGGTTTTATTCCCAGCACCCAAATGGCTCACAATCATCTATAACTCCAGTTCCTTCTTCTGGCCTCCATGGGTACCTGTGCTATCCACAGACATACACTCAGGGAAAACACCCTGTAATAGTAATACATAAATATAATATATAGTTAAGTAAATGATATTCAGTATATGTTATTGTATATGAAATATTATATCAATAAAATAAGAATATACAATAATAAATATTAATTTAAAGTAATTTTAAAAGTTTAAAGAGCACCCAGAAATTATTCTGTGATTTTGGCTCTCCACAAAGTCCTCAGAAGAAGTAATTATTTCCCTTTTCCTGTATGACTTCCTCCTCTCTCAGTTTCCAGTTCAGAAGAATCACTTTATTTTTATAAAACCACTTGTCCTGTCTCCTGACCCACTTCCTTACTTACAAACTGCCCCTCAAAGACCAAATTGTAAAATACTCACCTCAAATTTTCTTACTGTTAAGACAGTAGGCCAGGCAGACACTCTACTAACTGTTTGTGGAGGGAGGCAGCCAGGTCTGGGATGTAAGGCAGTGATCCTGTGACCTAACCTCCCAGGAGAATGTCAATTATTTCACCAGTAATAACAATGACAGGGCACTCTCAAGAAGTCAACATAATTCTTGAAAAACTTTGTCCCAGTTACTGATTTCCAGAACACTCACATGTCTCTAAACAGATGAAATCATTTGGGATGGGCGCTTCTCTAACAGCTTAAAAGGCTTTCTTAGTTACAGTTTCCAGAAACCCTGTAAAAGACAACATCTTTTATTAAGTTTTATCCATTAAGTGTAGGAGATTCTTTATGGCATGTATACCTACATGCAGAAGAGGGCATCAAATCCTATTATACATGGTTATGAGCCACCATATGGTAGCTGAGAATTGAACTCAGGGCATCTTGAAGAACAGCCATTGCTCTTAATCTCTTAGCCATCTCTTTAGCCCTCAAATGGTAATATTTAATTGGGGCTGGCTTATAGTTTCAGAGGTTCACTCCTTTCTCATCATGGCAGGAAGCATGGCAGCATCCAGGCAGACATGGTTCTGGAGAAGGAGCCCAGAGTTATCCATCTTGATATCAGCACAGCCAGGAATGACTGGTATCTGGAAGCAACCAGGAGGGAAGCACACCTCCACAGTGACACACTTCTTCCAACAAGGCTACACATAACTAATAGTGCAACTCACTGAATCACGCACACTCAAACCACCTCAGAGGCAGACAGGTGCACTCTCTGAAGTTGGATACATGGAGAAATGTGCATGAATCACTCCCTAGACTTTGGGCTTCCATGAGATATACTACTGTGAACTCTATGCTAATCTACAACATTTTGAGCCAGACCGTTTATTAATACTGAGCAGAGAAATGAGATCATGCAATTGACTTGTCAAGAGTATCTAAGGACCTTCTGGAAAGGTGGGGGGACTGAATAAATA